GCGGTTGGGGTGGGAGAGCGTGGGGGGTCCGAGGCAGTCGTGCCCGGCGCAGCCTGCCAATGTATCCAAAGACCGAGCGCTGGCGACGAAGCCTGCTGGCTGAAGTTGCTTGCTGTCTGATGAACTGAATTAAACTGGATGTGAAACTGCTGAACTGAATGTGGAGTCGCTCCTTTTTATATGCAGGTCGGTGGGGCGGAGCCAAACTCGAAAGTGAGGAGCAAGAATTGATTGGCTAGCGCGCGTAATGGTGTAGACGCGGGCTAGCGCCGAGCGTAGTATAAATGCGATCATTTGAAGCAATCTGATTGGTTAGCGCGCGTGATGGTGAAAAGTGATGTGAAGAGCGAGCGTTGCAGAAATGCGTGATAATGTGGGATGTTCCCACACGTGAATCTCCTTCTCACCTTCCTTCTGTATTATTTCTCATCTCTTATTTGTACATTATATTGCCATACCTCTCCCCATATTCTAGGGATGGAGGATAGAAACTGCATTTTAGATTGCCCCAGAGCATGATAGGAACTGCCTATTGTTTATAAGTAAATGTTCCAATTGTCATTTTAATAATACAGAAGATCAAATTTTTTGCCCAAGTAACCTTTTCATTCTAGCTCCTAAATTTGTGTTGAACTGTTGAACGTGGGTCCATACATCCACTCTCCCATATGTCTTCATGGCGTAGTGCTTAATCAGTTAAGCACGGGGACAACTTTTCCTTTATACCTGGTTTTCCTGGACCTTTCTAATGGCATATTCTAAAGCAAAGTTGAAAAGCAGTGGTGATAAATCATTTTTTTTTTTTTACTATTCTGGTTACAAAAATGAGCAGAGAAATGTTTACAGACATAACTATACGTTTTGTTTAAACAATTTTAATCAGCCTACCTAGTTTCATGGGTACCCCAAACAATGCTGTATAATACTCCCCTTCTAACTGAATCTTAGGCTTTCCTGAAGTCTACAAATAGCTTATGTACTGACTCATTGAATTCCTGTAATAATAAATATTTTTCTCTTTCATCTATATATGGACTTAACCTTAAGAGAATAATATTGGAAAAAAAAATTGAAGTTGATAGTAGTGATAGCCCACGATAATTAGTAGTTTTAACAGCCTTCTTGTGAACTGGTACAATAACACTCTTTCCACTGGTAAGGCAATTTTTTCGTATTCGAAATAAGATTAATTAACTTATGGATCTTAGAACGGTATATTTCACCTCCTCCGATCAGTTCTGCCGGAATTTGACCGTTACCTGGCCATTTACACATTCTCAACTTTGCAGTTGCAATTTCAACCACAAAGGGGCTAAGATCAGGTACCGATCAGGTACTAACCACTCAAGAATATGTATTTATATCTGCCTAACGACTCTCACGACGCTGACCTATATACATTATATGTATACGTAATAAAAAAAATGTATGCACGGCTACACGGTATGTGCGCTGACAGCCAACAATACTTAGTTACATATGTTTACCTTACTAACGCTTACTAATCCCTGGCTCTACCTACAGATTCGGTATTTACGTCCTTTACGTCGGTGACACTGCAGTCACGACAGGTCGTCACGCCTTTTAAATTAAAGAATGAATTCGTAAACGTTAAACAATCTACTGTATCAACAAAGCAATATAATTCAAGCATTAGTGTGTATACCAAGACATTTCGGTATAACGAATAATGAAATTGAATTGAATTTATTTACATTCTATAAATCCTAAGCAGGTTAGTACCTTTGGATACAGAACAAGTCAAAATGTTACATACATAAGTACAGGCAATTTTAGCTTAAAAATTAATATAACTTAATTTTACATCATTCTCTATTTACATTGAAGTATTCATCTAAAGAGTAGAAGGAATGAGCATGTAGATAATTCTTTAACTCTGATTTAAACTTTTTAGTATCATTGCCCAAGTTTTTAATACTTTGTGGCAGATTGTTGAACACTTTTATGCCAGTAAAGTAGACTCCTTTTTGATATACTGATAAAGTTGATGAGGGTAGGTGGAGGTTATATTTTTGTCTAGTATTCATGTTATAGACATCAGAATTTAATTTGAATTTATCTTTGTTGTAAACAACAGATAGGAGAAGCGATAATATGTATTGCGATTGAAGCAGTAGAAATGGTAGAAACATTAGCAAAAGAACGAAGTATGTATAGGAAATACACACTATATACCATCGATTCCTGATGCAGATCCACGGAGTAAACAAATTTCCAACACGGATTAATGGACGTTAGCAAAGTTAAACAAATTTGATATGCTTTAAGATTCTCCCTGGACATAAGTCATTAGGCACCGTGACCGATCTTGGCGTATGGGGAAATGAGAATGTAGCGCCTTATATGTCCGAAATAGGGTCAACAGGGTCAAGAGTGCCCCTGACCACGAGTGACCACTATCCCTCCAAGTAGAACAAATTCTTGCATCGTCGGTAACCGTCGGTAACGAACCGAACGTTCGTAGTGGAAGTGCGTAAGTTTTCCGAATTGGTTAGGGAAGCATTAGGATCACTCGACAGATATTAAGTTTCCTCATATTTTGACAAATAATGGTGTTCATGATATTCCGCTATTGCAAGTTCTAGTTTGGATTCTGATGAACTTCGCAACGCGCTCTGAGGGTGATGTTTCTAGTAGAATGCACATTTTAACTGTTTTACGCCCTTTCTCGCCTGTTACACATACCAATCCGACTTAAGGAAGTGAGAACTGATGGTCCATATTGAATTGGTTGAAGTTGCAGGGCACACAAATGCATTTTTTGCGGCTCTGCAATGTAAATTTGTAGAGTATGTTGCTGTTTATAGGACGTAACTCCGTGCAGTCTGGTAGCCAGTTAACGACGTTTTGGAAGCAAGAGGTTCACTGAAAATGAGTGAACTAGCTGCCTTCAACTGAGCAACAACTACACAACTTGTAATAAGACATTAAGCTTCATAATCTCTGCCGGCCTCTACTGTGAGATGAAAGAAGTCCATCTCAGTGTGTTTGTTCACAATAATTAGTATGTTTGCTTACAGACATGAGCAAATATTCAGAGCTAGGTACAGCTACACTTGTTAGAAATATGATGCAATATCACTAGGATTCTTGTAAATCAATTCATTTGCCACACACAAAGTTTCAAGGTTATGAAAGATTCTGCATTCGCTTGGAACAGGAATGCTGAGAATTCTGCTACAGAGAGCTGAAGAAAAATTTCCTGCTGTGACAGAAAGGATGGTGAGTGTTTTGTGCTTGTGTACACAGACAAGAATTTTATCGTCATCAGTCAAATCTCATATCTTAAGAAACTGAACTTTTTAGTGTTAGTTTTCATAATCCATCTGGGGAGTTTACATGGTTCTTCATATTGTAACACTTTGCATTATTATGTGGGAGAGGGAGCAATTCAAGGAGAGTGGTATGGGTATGTATGTATGTATGTATATATGGATAAATACCGTCTTAAGTGCAACAAATTTTATTGTAGTTTTTACTTCTTTTTCCTCCTCCACACTACATGTTTCGGCCCTAAATGGCCATCATCAGGTGTGTATCACTCACGTAGCTGTTACACTGCTTGTTAAAATTTAAAATTACCAGTCTTTCTAATTGTATAAAATTAACAAAGATTTTATACAATTAGAAAGACTGGTAATTTTAAATTTTAACAAGCAGTGTAACAGCTACGTGAGTGATACACACCTGATGATGGCCATTTAGGGCCGAAACATGTAGTGTGGAGGAGGAAAAAGAAGTAAAAACTACAATAAAATTTGTTGCACTTAAGACGGTATTTATCCATATATATTGTGTGAGTGTAACAGGATGCTGAAATATAACATTGTATGTATGTATGTATGTATGTAAGTAAGTAAGTAAGTAAGGGGTGGGCCATAAAAACTGGCCCCCGTGCTGTGACCTTCGGTGGTCTATTGTGCTTCCCCTTGGATTAGCCCTTTATTAATCCTATGCTTTTAATAAAGTGTAGGACCCTGCTTATGGGGGCATCATAAAAGTCACTTGGTTCCATAAAAAACTGACCCAAGTGACAAAATCTTAAATAAGCTATGGCCTCACAATCACGCACAATGTGTGCGCCTGATTCATTATCTTGTAGGCACCTTTCACAAGTTGTACTGTCTGTCAGTCCCAACTTGAAAAGGTGTCCTTTCAGGTGGCAGTGTCGGTAAGTAATCCTACCACCCATTTTAGTTGATCTCTGTTTAATCTCAACAGATCCTTTGTTCTTCTGGCAGAGGGTCCTGCTATAAAACCCATTGCCTGTCAGAGTCCAATTATGGATTCCCAGTATTTTTTATGGTTTCTGTCAGTCCAGTCCATGACCGCTTTTTTTGCCAACTCCAATTGAGCTGCCGCAAGCTGTTCAGGTCCTATGAACGGCTGTTCAGATCATGATATGGGTAGGTCATATAGCATGCATGTGAGAATGAGAAATGACAGAAGACCTGAAAGATTGAGACCACTTAGGAGACAATTGTGAAGATGGATTTTAAAGATACAATTATGAGGTTTTGGACTGGGTTTGTTTGTGTCAGGATTCAAAGTTATGATGGGCATGTGTGAACACAGTAATGACTGCTTAGGTTCCATAAAGACCAGATACGTACTGTCTGTACTTCCACAGGGACCACAGGTTTCTCAGGAAGGTCCCTGCATTATGAACTTAACACTTCCTAAGATTATGAAGTCTGTAGAGAAGAAATCTGTACAGAGCAGCTGTTATGGGTTAGATGTAATGAAAAACAGCTACAGCAAGGAGAGCATATATTGTTTCATGTGTGGTGTTGTACAGCCATGACTGATAGAAGATGTGATGACTTTACAGAACTGTACCAATTCAGAGAAAGTCTTAGTTGGTCCATATGGTGAGACATACCCAGCAAGTCATGATGCAAACTGGGCCATGATTATAAAAGCTAAGGGAGACTCAGATGCAGAAGAGGAAGCGGATCCTGTACAAACTACAGTTCAGGAGATAAAGGCTGAACCTGAGGTGAGCTGTATGCTTCTGTATGTCCACTGTTAGGCAGATATCACAGATAGGCAGGAATTCCAGTTGTGTTTCTCATCTCCATCTGTCTGGCTGTCTGTCTGTGCACATGGGACAGCTCCACTGTGCTGCTGACTTGCCTTTGAAGGTCTTTTTCTGAAGTGTCTCTAGACAGTTATAGTTTGTTGAATGTATGCTGCTTGTGATGTACCACTTCCATTTCCTTTTAAGCAGTTCTGATGTAGATGAAATTAAATTTTGTGTAAACTGAACTGTATTTGGGAGAAATTTTATAGCAGCAAAAATCCATAGGGAGTCACAGAACTGTTCGTAGCTAGTTAACACATGTTAGAACCAAGAATTCAAATTACTAGAACTCTTGTGAGCTAATTCCAATGAACCCCACAAGATATTTTTCATGTGATGAAGGTTATAAAAGATTCTGCATTCTCTTGCAACAAGAGTGGCAAGAACTGTACTGCATGGAGCTGAAGAAACATTTCTTGCTGTGAGAGAAAGTATTGTGTTTCATGCTTGTGTGCACAGACAAGAGTTTTATTTTCATATATCAGTTCTCTTCTTCAAAGAAACTAAATATTTTGTGACCCGCTTCTGTTTGTTTGCATAATCCATGTGGGGAGTTTCTTACACTTGGGTGATAACGATTGGGATATTATGTAGGAGAGCAATGAGTTCAAGGAGATTGATGTGGGTAAGTCATATAGTGCACATGCAACGGTGAGAAATGCATACGAAGAGAAGAAAACCACTTGGGAGACCTGAGTGCGAATGGAAAGTTGCTATTAAGATAGATTTTAAAGAAATAATTTGGAAGGGTTTGTACTGAGTCTGTTTGCCACAGAATATGGAGCCTTGTTGAGCACAGTAATGAGCCCTCTCTGGCTTTCTCAACAAATCCTATATGCATTGCTCTTCTCCCCTATGCCTGCTATATGAGCTGCCCATCTCATCCTCCTTGACTTTAGCTTTTAGGTACAATAAATAACTTCATGTAGCTGAGTGAGTCCTTGAGAAGCCATCAGTTGCTTGGCCAGTGAAGAATTTCCCAACATTGTATAGAACCTGGAAGTTTATTGACGTTCACAAAAACCCGTCACAAGTCCCTGTCTTGAGCCATATGAATCCAGTCCACACCACCCCATCCTATGTCTCTTAAAGATCCACTTAAATATTATCTTCCCACCTATGCCTAGGCCTTCCTAGTGGTCTCTTTCCTTCTGGCTTTCTCAACAAATCATATATGTGTTCCACTTCTCCCCCATGCCTGCTATATGAGCTGCCCATCACATCCTCCTTGACTTGATCATATAATTATGCTTGGTGAACGAAGGCTACAAGTTGTGGAGCTCTTCATTATGATGTTTTTATGCACCAAGAAAGCAGATATTTTCTGTACTGCTGCAGTGACCGATAGTTCCTTGGGAAAGTCACTGAGCTATGAACCGAGTACTTTCTAGTGATCATGATAGCTGTAGAGAAGAACGTCTGTACAAAACAGCTCTTATGGGTTAGATGTGATGAGAAACAGCCATAGCAAGGAAAGCTTACGCTGTTTAATGTGTGTTGTGCATCCATTTCTGAGAAGGATGTGATGGTTTTTACAGAACTGTACAAATTCAGAGAACGCTTTAGTGGTTCCACATTGTGAGACATACCCAACACCTCATGATGCAGATCAGGCCATGAATGTAAAATCTGAGGCAGTCTCAGATGCAGAAGAGGAAGAGGATCCTGTCCTAATAACATTTCCAGAAATAAAGGCTGAACCCGAGGTGAGCTGTATGTGCTCTGTTAGGCAGATAACACAGATGTGCAGAAATGCTGCTTGTCTTTCTGATATCCATCTCTGTGAACATGAAACATCCCCACCGTGCGGTTGACTAGATTATGAAGATTTTTTTTTTCCTGAAATGTTTCTAGGCAACTGTACTATGTTGAATGTTGCGTGTGATGTACCACTCCACTAAGCAGTGCTTTGTTACTACATCATAGAGTTCCCAGGATCTATAAGTGCTGAAGTTTATCATTTATTTGTTTTCTGTCTTCAATGCAGTCTGTATCCATGTAATAACATAGAGCTGTCGTTATGTTCAGGTTTCTTTATAGCTTTGTGATAATGTTTGACAGATTATAGACACGTGTTGCCTGTTGCTCTTTGTTTGAAGTAAATTTAATATACCTGACTCTGTTGGAGTTGCGTCTGTACCTGCTGTCAGGTGATTGGTTGTCATGACAGATTTTTTGTTGTTTTCGGTTAGACAGAAAGGCGACTAAACGTTAGATACAGAGAATGTGTAAGAGGTATAAAAACCAATAGTGAAGAATTGGCATTGGCAACACATCCTAAAATATAGACGCAGTTGTGGTGAAGTGGAGTTTACAGTGGATGTAATTAAACACAAATAAAGCTAGTAATGAACATCAAAGAAAATTTCTACATCTACATATAGACGGAGGTTCTTACTTTTCTCGGCCAGTTCACAGCAACTGATGCACCACTGGCTGCAAGGTGTATACAAATTTTGCCAATGAATCAGTATGCCTGTGGCCAGTTACGTTTGAAATAAAGTATACAATTCACAGGCCACAGAAGTTGTTGAAAATGCTGTCACCCTACATGTAGACATTCCTTGCACCAGCAGAAGGGGTTCTGTTTAACCCTTAAAGCTATTGTGCCAAAATTTTTGCTATTTCCCTATGAATTTTTTTTTAGTTCTTCCTTATGGTGTTTACTGTTTGAAACTTTGTCCTGCAAACAACCACACAAGAAAATGTCTAAGAATTAAGGTTGGGTGAATATGCCTGCCAAATACCAGTGCTGATATTTCTGTCCCCGAAAGTACCAGGCAAAGCTTGCATAGACATATGTGAAATGTGGGCAGTAGCTTAGTCTTGCTGAAACCAACCATAGAGTCTTTTTTTCTTTTGTAACTCTCAAAAGAATTATCTGAGAATGACCTGTACATAATTTTTTTTTACTTGGTGGGGTGGGACTAAGTTCCTTCTACGGTGGCCACTTCTGCCCTATTGTACCAGACCCAGATGATAGTCGAAGGTGATTGTGGAGCAATTGGTGGAATGAAGATTGGCAGGGGAAACCGAAGTACTCGGAGAAAACCTGTCCCAGCGCCACTTTGTCCACCACAAATCCCACTTGACCAGACCCGGGATCGAATGCGGGCTGCCGCTGTGAGAAGCCAGCAGCTAACCACTTGAGGTATGGTGCGGCCTTTGAACTGTACATATCTTTCACAATTAATTGTTCCTTTAA